ACCATTAGAAAGGAAACTAAAGCACTTAGGTCAGGTCAGGGTGTCCAAACTCTGCATAGATTAGCTCCAGCTTCCAGTAAAACTTGTCTGGAAGTTTGTAGTATACCTTAAAGAGCTGGATCAGCTGCTTCAGGTTTGATTAATTGGGGTTGAAGCTAAAATATGCTGGACACCAGCCCTCCAGGAGTTTGGGCATCCCTGACTTAAAGAGACAGTTGACCAAATAAGAAATGCTGTAAGCACTGCCTCACCCTTCACTCGTCACAAACCTGTCTGAGTTTCTTTCTTCTGTTCAACACAAGGGAAGATTTTGTGAAAAATGTTGGAAACAGGTTGACTTCTGTAGTATTTGTTTTTCCTACTACATTTGTCAACGTTGTGTCCATCATTCTTTAAAATATCTTCAAAAGAAGCAGTATCCTGAGCAGATCTGCCTGAGCTCTTCAGAAACTCACCACCGAAGTAAGAGCCGTCGCTGAGTTTGGTCTCCTTGTTTCCTCGAGTGAGGACGCTGACCCGTCCGTGCTGGATGAAGTACATCTTACGGCCGACGGTTCCCTCGCGGATGATGAAGTCATTGGGCTGAAACACCTCAAACTTCAGCTTGGTGAGCACCGCGGTCACGAAGTTTGGGTCGGCGTTAGCGAACAGAGGCATGTTAGCCACCAAGCTACGGCAGTTGAAGCTCACGATCTCCTGGCAGAATCACACAATATTATTAAGCTGGTTAAAGCTTGAGAAATGCCTCAACAAGATAACACAATAATGCAGAGGATTTCACTAGCAAACTGCTGTTGAGCCAAAACTAGTCATTAATGAAATGTGTTCATTCATTCATTTTCTTTTCGGCTTAGTCTCTTTATTAATCTGGGGGCGCCACAGCGGAATGAACCGCCAACTTATCCAGCATATGTTTCACGCAGCAGATGCCCTTCCAGCTGCAACATCCAGCTGGGAAACATCCACACACACGCACACACTACTGACAATACAGTCTAAACACATGCGCTATAGGGGGATTGGGTGAGCTAAATTGCCCGCAGTGTATGTGTGTAAATGAGTGTGTATGGATGTTTCCCAATGATGGGTTGCAGCTGGAAGGGCATCCGCTGTGTAAAACATATTCTGGATAAGTTGGCAGTTCATTCTCCTGTGGTGACACCTGATTAATAAAGGCACTAAGCCGAAAAGAAAATGAATGAATGAATAAAGGATTCATATGTTGTCCTGTGTGCACACTGTCATGTTCAACACATGTTATTTATCAATTCTTGTTTATTTATTCTGTATATTTACACAGCCTTATGCTTACACAACCACAACATGATCTAAAGCGCAGAGATTGAGAAGCAAACTGACCTCCTTTAAGGGCTCGCTCAGCTCTCCCAGAATGTTATCCTCATCAAACATCTTGCCTTGGTATCGATGCTCATAATACTCGTGGATTTTCTGCCTGACGTCTGCTGGAAGCTTGTGGAACGACATGTACTGCTCCACCTGCTTATACTGGACCACACACACACACACACACACACACACAGCGTTAGTTAGTCTGACTCTTCTTCAGTAAACATTTACAGATCATGCATGACAGATATTACTAATTTTAACCAGCACTCATCAGCACATGAAAATACTATAAGTTGTTGTAAATACTCTAAAATTGTATATCGATTCTATTGTAAAAGTACTTGAAGTGATCTGTTGTGGTGATTCCACAGTTGCTATGGTAACACAAAAATTATGGTAATTGATCTGTTGTGGTGATTCTACAGTTGCTATGGTAACACAACAATTATGGTAATTGATCTGTTG